CAAGTGAAATGTGGCGCATTCATCTGCAACAAAGGAGCTGCAAACAAATGCTAAACTATTGCATTTTGCTGCTGCTGCTGCTGCTGCTGCCTTTTGCTTTCTTCCATTTGCTGTTGTAGTTGTCCTTTATGCAGCTTTTACTTTTTAGCCAGCAGGATATCCTTGCCACCAGTAGCAGCAGCAGCAACAGCAAGTTGAAAAAATAAAATAAATTGTTCAATTTAACAAACAAGCAAACAGCAGCAGGCAGGCAGGCAGGCGGGCAGGCAGGCAGGCGGGCAGGCGGGCGGGCAGCAGAATCAGGTGAACGGGTGTCCAGGTGAGTATACAACGTGCATCGAATGGGTGTCGAATAGTTGGGCGTGGCACGTAAAATTTGTGCGCCAGTTTATGAAGCGAGCGAGTAAAATGCTTGTTTACTGCCACCGCGCGACAACAATTGCCTCGACTGCCTGCACAGCACAGCCCGGCTCAGCTCAGATGCCGACCGCGTCCTTTGCGCCACTTTTGCGCTCCAGACAGTGACCCAGCTCCGCCCGCGACTGACCAACCGACCGAGCGACCAAACGGCCCTCAGCTTAACGCTGACATTTTGTATTTTTGAGTAAAACTCAGCCTCTTGAACGGATCAGCTTAAAGCTAACGAATTCCGTGCACAAATTCCCATCGATACGACGCGTTTTGCCAGTCTTAAAAGCTGAGCATGGATATTGAATCAAATATTGAGTGTCTAATGGCATTTATTCTTAAAGTACTTATTTCAAGTGAAATTTAATTTTCACAATTATGCTATATAGGATCCCTATCTATGTGCGTGTGTGTGTGTGTGTGTATTGAATGAGGCCGGAAGCAGCTTAATGAGGCACTGCGCCTTTCGGACGGCCACAGGTCGCTGGGGTGCAAGCATTCCGGCACATATTGCTGGCCAGCTGCATGGGGCCAAATGGTTGGCATGGGTGCCCCAGTCTGTTGTTATAGCGACCGGAGTGCCCATTGGCCCATGGACATATGCTCGGCCATGCAGGCTGCGTACCCCAATCCAGGATCATTGTAAGGTGCTCGATTTCGAAGATATCAGGACTCACTTTGGTAAATGCACACAAATTCTGTATAGTATGATATAACACGATTTGATTCAACATGCACGCAGCTAACGCAATAAGTCAATAATTATTGTTCAAATTAGTTTCGGATGTGTATTCATGATGCTTACTCAAGCTGTTGACCGATTGTTCAATTGGGAGCGCTCTGAAAGCAAATGTGCACTGGTCGAGAGAGAAATATGATTCGATACAGGTTGGGGCTCAACTTATTCGATTTGAGCTTTGCCTCATGTTAAATAAAAGGCTTTGCCGACTTGCTTCAATACCTGTTGTGCCTTCCGCCAGCTTCACACTTTGCAAATCCTTATCGTAAATAGTTGTTGTGCTTATCTTTATTTATATTGTCTTAAAATATATATATTCTCAACTATATGCATGCGTATATAAGTATAAGTAAAACAAATATTATTAATCCTCATATGTTCATGGAAAACATCAACCAATAAATTAGAATAATAAATAAATAAAATAGCCCTTGCATGAAAATAAAAAATATCTTAGATATAACATATTTGTATAATACTTATATACTTATATATATACTTATTCTTATAATTATTTTCATTTTATCTAGTATTTTTTTCCAAATAATTTGTTTTCCCTCAGCAGCAACAACTTATACTGCCCAGACATTTAGGAAATCAGAAATCCCTTTCAAGGGAAAAGAAATACTCTGTAGACGGTTTATCAAATTGATTTAAATTCTTAAACACATATCTCAATAATACATAGCTAAAGCTGCCCGTCGACTTTTTATGTTGAATTTTTGTAAGAACCGAAACAAAACTGAAAACTGAATATGCAAAAAAAGCCGCAAGTACGAAAACGGAATGGGGGCAGCTTTATTGCAAATCTTTAAGAGTTTTTGGCGTGCGTGATAATTTGCAACATATTCTTTTCTTTGTTTTCGAAATTCGATTGGTGCATGCCGCATTTCCTTGAAAACTTATGTGGCACGCGTTGCAATTAGCGCTTAATGTTAAAGCAGCTGTCGGCAGAGAGAGAACAATTCTTACATCGCATTCGCAGACGTCCTTATAAATAACTGAACGGTAAATAGCTACGACTTGCTTTGGCATCCGAACTCAAGATTTACGCTCAAGCGAGCTGTTTCAGATCTTCTTTGTGCGGCATTCGCAATCGCCGCACAGGCAGCATTGCTTATCTCATAAGCACATTTACGCTTAAGAGAGCGCATTTTTCACATCCTCTGCGTGCGACATTCGTAAACGTCGCACAGGCAGCATTGCACTCGAGAGAGCGCATTTTACATTTCACATCTTTGTGCGTCATTCGTTAACGTCGCACAGGCAGTATAAGCGCATGTGGCAAGTGAAAAGAAAATAAACGATGTGCATATCAAATGTTCTAAGAGCGTTCTGTTAACATGAAAATTCAGTATAGAACACCATAAATCATGGCTTAAATTGCCTTAAAATCATGACACTCAATTTGTGGGGAAAAAAACACAATTTTTATTCAACCCATTTGTATTGGAAATGTGTGTTGAATGTGTAGACTAGATGCAAATGTTTGCCCAAGTTGCGGATACAAATGTGCAGGCCGAGCAGAGGCAATTGCCTTTGTGTGGCAAATGAAGCGCTGGCATCGAAAGCAAAATCATGCGGGCAAGGCCCAAAACGATGCAGCACACAATTTGTAATAAAGGGCGCACAGGCAGCTAACCATGGGGGGGCAGCCGAGAGCCGAGGGCCGAGGGCCGAGAGGACTACGTGCTCGCACATGGAGCCAATAACTTTGCGTAGACAAAGAACGAAAACAAAAACCAAAAAAAATGGGAATAAAATTAGTTGTTCGGCAATGGAAATTGGGAAAACGAGGTGAAAATGAATGCGATCGGCACAGCTCTTGGTACGACTGATAAGCTGCTTAGCCGCCCCCTCAGCCTTCCCCCCACCACCAGGCCAACGTCATCAACTGATGCAAGTCTCGAGGCACACGCACACGCACTGCGTATTTCATGTCATTAGCCAGACAAAAGCCAAACCGAGCACCGCAACCAACCAACCCACTGACGGTAGGGTAGTGCGCCCTTGTGTCTGGCGTGCGTGTGCTCAAAGTTTTTGACAGGCAGCACTCGAGCACCGAACACCCAGCACCCCAAGGTATTAAAAATTACCCCATACAAGCCAACACAGGCCACATGAAGTTTTGGGCAAACCATAAAACTGGATAGTCGTGGGTGCCTGGTGTGCGCCGTGGTTACGGTGCGCTCTCGGTTGGTATAGTTGGTTGCCTGGCTGCCTGGCTGCTCGCTGCCCTGTCGAGATTATGACACGTTGCTGCAGCTTATTTATTAATGAGCTGCGTTGTCAGTCAACAATCAGCTGCTCCGTCAACGGCTCGTCACATTTAATGTCTATGCGGTCAGCTCAATTACCATTGACCGTCGTCTACTGCTTCCGCCTTCTCAACGAATGGAAAAAACTTAAATTCAAGAGATTAAATTTCATTATAATAGAAAAGAAAAGAAACTTTTCTGAAGTTGCAAAACAAAATTAAAACTCATTTTTAAAAATCTTTGTTCAAATGAATTTCACACTTTTCGGAAAATTCGTCCGCCCCGGTGGAAATGGAGCTTCAAAGCTTTGGTGAGTGATCTTTTGGGTTCAAATTCATTTCCAAAGGTCCTTATAAAAATTTCATATGAGTTGTTTTTCATATTTTTCGCAATCTCCAAGCCTCCTCAGTTAAATGCGAGTCAACGATTTGTTGGGCGAAGTTTTAAGTTTCTTTCGATCGACTTCAAACTTATTTTCAAATATTTTTGTCAACATTTATTTGATAGATTTTTTTTGTAAATTCCATCCCTCTTTGATGGAAAATGCAGGTGGTTTAATGAACGAAAGCTTATTTTTCGGCTTTATGATTCTCAACACAAGACATGGGCGTAAGCAGTTGGTTCCAACTTTTAATTCGATTCTAAACTTATTTTTCAATATCTCGGTGAAATTTAACTTAAGACGTGGAGTTCAAAATACAACGGGTAGATTTAAATTTTCCACGGGCAGAAAAAGGATGAACAAGTTATATAAGTATAAAACTGTGCATGTGTATTTGCATGTATGTATGTATTCATGTGTGCATGTTTGTATGTATATATGTATATGTGTATGTACATATGTATGTATGCATGTATTATGAATATATATGCATGTTTATATGTTGCGATATGCATGTTTGTATGAATATAAGAAATTATGCATGTATATATCCATGCTTGTATGGATCGTATGTATGGATGCATGTGTGTATGTATGCATGTATGTATGTGTGTGTGTATACGTGAATTTTTATATATTTATACATGTGTTTATGTGTAAGTATATGTGTATGTGTATATATATATTTATATACATATATATACATGGATATATGTGTGTATATATGTATGTACGTATATGTGGAAGTATGTACGTAAGAATGTATGTGTATGTATGTATATGTGTATGTGTGTAAGTATGTGTGTGTTTATGTATGTGAGTATGTATATATATGCATGCATGTAAGTAATTTTGTATGTATCGATGCGTGTAAGTATGGATGTATTATATAGTGTGCATGTAAGTATGTTTGTATGTATTTATCATGTATATTTGCGTATATATGTGCATATTTATATGTATTAATGTATGTTTGTATGAATATAATAAGTTATGCATGTGTATATCCATGAATATATACATGTATATACACTTGTGTGTATGCATATATGTATGCATGCATGTATGCATGTATATATGAATGTATGTATGCATGTGTGTATGCATGTATATATGGATGTTTGCATGCACGTATGTATAAATATATATGTATATATATATTATGTATGCATTTTTATATGTAAATGAATTTGAAAAATAACGTGCTCTTAACTAATGCCCTACTACGCGATTCTCATGAATTCAAGTAAGTCTCATAAATTGGAGGAGGTGGCTTCAACTATAGAGGAGGCGGCAGCTTCAACTATGGAGGGGATAGCGGCTTCAACTTAAGCAAAGGAACAGGTGGCGGCTTGAGCAAAGGAGGAGGCGGCGGCTTAAGCAAAGGAAGAGGTGGCGGCTTGAGCAAAGGAGGAGGCGGCGGCTTTAATATTGAGGAAACGGCGGCTTGAGCAAAGGAGAAGGCGGCAGCTTCAACTCTTGAGGAAACGATAGCTTGAGCAACGTCCTCGTTGCTAAGGTGTTAGTTAAAAAGGTGTGTATGTTTAGTTGAGCTAAAAATTAACGAAAAACTTATTAACAAATATTGCCCTTCTACGCGATTCTCACAAACGGAAGTAAGGCTTAGCAGGCAGGCTGCATTTTTAAGCTAACAAAAATTATCTTTTCTCTTCTGTTCTTTCAGTGATGGGCTTATACAAGAGTTCGTCTCCGGCCTTCTGATGGATGAGCATTAAATAATCGTGCACGTGGATTTACAGGTGAGTACGTTACAACTAATATATATATTTATATATATATATATATTTATAAACACAAATATTTATCTCTATACATAAAACTGTTTGTCCTGACTAACTGACTGACTTATTGACTAACTGATTGGTGATCAACTCAGAGCCCATACTGTTTGAGTTAGGAAGTTGAAGTTTTCACTGTAGTTACCTTATGTAATGAAGGTGCACGTTAAGGCGGGGTTTCGGGAAATTCCACCCGCCAGGAGAGAAAAAATCGCGAAAAACGTTTGTATGAAACTTTTCTTGTTTACCGTCCGATCGGCTTAAAACTCAATTTCAAAGATCTGTGAGAGAATTTATTTAAAACGAGCAACGGGCAAGGCCGCGGTGTACCCTCAAATATCCTATATAGAAATAGGTCCAAATTCCCCACCCCCATAACTCGGCCAAAACTCAACCGATTTTCATAAAATTTGGGTCTCTGTTAATGGATTGGCCTCTAGATAAATTTGGCATCTAAATCGGGCAACTTTGTTCTTGGTCAAAATTCAAGTGAAAATGGTACCCTCAAATATCCTATATAAACATAGGTCAAAATTTCCCTCCCCCATAACTCGGTCAAAACTCAACCGATATTTATAAAGTTTGGCTCCTTGTACATGGTTTGGCCTCTAAATCAATTTGGCATCTAAATCTGGCAACATTATTCTTAGTAAAAATTCATCTGAAAATGGTACCCTCAAATATCTTACATCCTATATAGACATAGGTCAAAATTTCCCTCCCCCATAACTCGGTCAAATCTTATCCGATTTTCATGAGGTTTGGCTCTTTGTTCATGGGTTGGTCCCTAGATCAAATTGGCATCTAAATCTGGCAACATAACTTTTGGTCAGAATTCATGTGAAAATGGTACCCACAAATATCCTATATAGACATTGGTCAACATTTCCCACTCCCTTAACTCGGTCAAATCTTATCCGATTTTCATGAGGTTTGGCTCTTTGTCTATTTAGTTTACACATACCAAGGGCCGGAGTATACCCGTTAGTTTTACATATACGTATAGGTCCATTAAGGTTATTTTTATACCAATATATATTTATAGCTGCGTATTTTTAAAGCCTAAGATGTGTTTATAAATTTTGGATAAGAAATTACTAGAAAAGAGTACCCCTAACAGTTAAACTATATATAGTTTATATTGTTTGGGTAGAAATGAGGAACAGGACTACAAAAAATTGCTGGTGGTTCGAATTACGGTTCGAACCGGTTTTCTGACTTCAGGCTCAGTTCGTGAACCGACTTTCTATGTTATGGTTAAACCCTTCGGCTTGTCATATATTTTCAAAATTGGAGGCAACTATTTAAGGTATTTAATTTATAAAACTGGCATCTACAAAATATGGTTAGATAAATGAAATGCTTGGGATTAAGATTCGCTTTTAATTAAGCAATTAAATGGAATTCCGGCTTCGAAGCGGTTCGATTAAAGCCCGCTTGACAGGCTGTAAAGCGGCCTCAAGAGCCTACAATTGTATAGAGTTGTTTTTTATTCTTCTACAAATAGCTCAAAAATATTTTAATTAATCATTTAATATAGCTGGGTCCAACGTCTCGTCTAACCGTGTTGAATGTTAACGAAGAAACTGCATTCTTTTATGTGAAATGCATTTAAAACGAATGCGTTCCTTCAACTTAATGATATTTTGTTACACATGACCAAATAGTATGCACTCCTTTTTTTTGTGCGTTGTTTTCTGCAGTTACATTCGTTTATAAGTCTCTGAAATGGTATGAGTATAAACTTTATGGCATGGCAGATGCCAAAGAAGACGGCGCCCGACGCGTAAGCAAGGCAATCGGTGTCAATGGCCCCCAAGGCACACGCACTGCCGGCAATAACCACAACACCACCACCATCAACAACAATAACAACAATAACAGGGGAAAATTACAAAATAAACGACAACAAATTAAACGACGAAGGCGCCGAAGCAGCAGATACCCTGTACTTGTGTGGGACTTAACGAACTACATTTGAACTATAACGAAATAATGCAAATAAGTTTCTAGAACCGGTTTAGAGAAGCATCTCTTTTAGCCAGGAATTCCAATTCCTTTATCTATCATTCACCAAACCATAAACCACATTCGTGAGATTCGGAACAGCCGAATCTTCAACTGAACCGAACCACTTTTGACCAAAGAACAGCTCAATATATATGTATTTTGCACTTTGGATATATTTTGAAAGACCTTAAAGTAATAATAAAAATAATTAAAACAATAAAGTCAATAAATTGAAAGTATGTACAAATAATAAACATAATTTATTATAAATTCAATTCTTATATAGAAACCCAAATTCGAACCCAGGCTCACATAAAGTACTTAAAATATGGAACTAGTTCGATCCGCGAACCGAACAAAAATTACATCTATAAGACAAAATCTTCTAATTTGGCTGTTTATTAAAATCTGAGAGCAAAACTGAAATTCAAAATTCGGTTTATTTGTTGAAAGTGAATATTATCTCTAGCTCATAGATAAACCTTATAATCTACGTATTAATCTAGATATATATCCATCTGTTTGTATAGATAGGAATACTTGCGCTAATCAGGAATATATTTATCATATAAATAGTCAAAGCATTCTTATGCAATGCAATTGTGCAGCATGCAGCTTTGGCCAATTACAGGGTATTTTAAAAACAACAGCCAGATATCTTTAAACTGAGCCGAGCGCGCGCGCGCGCCAAGTGCTAATGAAGATTCCGAGCTGCAGCAGCAACAAGAACAACATTAAGTACCCAGATTCCGTGTTGCAGTTGCACAGCTGTGCATGCCACAAGCACACACACACACACACAAACACACACAGACACACGCATGTGTTACTTATAAATAGCAAAGATGCTGTGGGTACTACCTCAAATAAAGTGGCCGGCATTGCAGTTTATTGCATCACTTGGGCAAAGAGTTTTGGACGACGCCAACTTCGACAGCGATAAACAAAAGTGGCTTTTGTGTTTGGACTGCAGCAGGGGCAAAGACTTTGATAGATGTTATAGTCCCCGACAATAAATGAGTGTATAAATACATGCACGCATTAAGTCCAGCAGCTCGCATTTGAATGCATATAAATTTTGAAAACAAGTTGAAAATTTATGCACATCCCACACAGTCCCAGGGCGATCCGAATGGGATTTAAGGCTAGCACAAGCATAAATAACCATAAGTGTTTATTATAATATACGTATATTTATAGAGTGGAAACAACATAATGCGATCCCAACTAATCTGAGACTCATGACAATTCTATCAGTTGCATAATCTCCATTGAATTATTGCCGTTGCGAGCCAAAAAGCGAGCTCCTTCCATTAATTCCATAGCTATCGGATCTGTCAATATGTCCAGGTATGTCCTCTCACTGGCCATATTGAACATTATGTTATTATTTTCACATTCTTTGAGGTTAGGCTAGCCGGAAATTGCAATGGCCGCCGCGTCAGAGTTGCCAGGCTTTGCAAGCGCGGCTATTCGAAAGCATGGTAACAAGTCGATACTCTAACGATTTATCGGCATCGATCACAGTTACTTTTGATGAAATATCAATATAAACAAGCCCGCATTGCCCTTGAATATCTGTTTTAGATATGTAAAAACTCAAGGCTTTTCTGAAAAGACGCATACCTGCAAATACCAACAATTACATTATTTGTATACTTATTTACTTGATAGCACTTAATATCGATAGTTTTTTATCTCATCAACTCTAGCCACGTGGCATCTGTCACATATGAAGCTTCGTGGCTTGGCATTCAGTTTCAACTCGTTCAGTTCAACTTTTCAACTTTAATGAAACGCATCAAAAAGAAAAGAACAACTTTCAGAAAATGAGATATGGCTGCTTTCTATGGCTTAAATCTGAAGCCATACTGTAAGTATGTGCAAGTGGTATCAAAGTCATTTCACATTTCGACCGTTGCACTGGACGAGGGGGATTTCGTCAAGTTCTATTTAACAATCCACAATCGGAAGTTTGCGCTGGCGACTCTAAGCAAGTCCATTCCGCAAGCGGTGTTAGACTTGAACTTTGGCCGCGGCGATGAATTGACTTTTGAATCGATTGGCAATGGTACAATGTCCATACTTGGCTACGTGCATGACGGCCATGAATCGGATGACGACTCATTATTTGGCGAAGCAGGTCCACAGAATACGACAGCACGCAATTGGTATGGAGAGGATTACTATATTGACGATACCGAAAACGGTATGGACATGGATTACGATGAACGAACCTCCAATGGTGGGCAGTACCTTAACGATGGACACCACCACAACGAATGGCCGAACGACAACGATGTGCAGTCGGACAACGTTGGGAGGTCGGTGAGTGATGGCCAAATCGCCACCGCTAGGCTCTCGACAACCGACAGGCAGACTAACACCGATAGGAGCTCTTGCCGAGATGACCCGTCGCACACCGATGGAGGGTCTGACAACGGCGTGCAGTCCGACTACCCTAGGAGGTCAAACAGCGTTGGCCAATCTGACAACCTTTGGCAGTCTGACAACGATGGAGAGTCTCACACCGATAGGACTTCTTATACGGATAGTCATTCGTACCCCAATAGAAAGTCTATCACCCATGGGCAGTCTTGTACCGAAAGGAATCCTGACAGCGATGGCCGGTCGAATACTGGTAGGAAGACCCACACTGGTCAATCCGACACCGATGGGTATTCCGGCAAGAAGTCCATCACCGATATGAAGTCAGACAAAGATGTGAAGTTGGACAACCTTAGGAATTCTGACAACCATGGATTATCAAACAGTAGTGGCCAATTGGACAATCCTGGGCATTCCGACACTGATGGCCACTCTGGCAGCAATAGCCATTTAAATTCAGATACAAAGTCTATCGCTCATGAGCAGTCTGCAACTAATGTGAAGTCAGACAAAGATGTGAAGTTGGACAACCTTAGAAAGTCTGAGAACAATAAGCTATCCGACAACCATGAACAGTCCGACAACGATGGAGACTCGAACACCGATAGGACATCTTACACGGATAAAAAGTCTATTTACGAGGCTCATTCTAACGCCGATATGAAGTCGATAACAGATGGCCACTCTGACGCCGACAGCAAGTCTCACACCGATAGCAACTCTGACACAGCGAGAAAATCGATCATTGATGGCCAGTCTGATACGGTTGCACCGGCTGACAAGGATGTAAAGTCGGACAATGATATGCTATCAGACAATCAACTGCAGCCTGACAACGATAGAGAGTCTGACATCGACAGGACATCTTATACGGACACCGATACGAGGTCGATCACTAATGGGCTGTCTGATAAGGATCAGAAAATCGATCAAATCGAACGGAAGTCGGTCACAGATGGCCACTCTGACACCGATAGTAGGTCTGACAGCGATGGGCAGTCCGACACAGATAGCAAGTCTTACACCGATAGTAACTCTGACACCGATAGAAAGTCTACCACCGATGGCCAATCTGACACCGATGTGCAGTCGGACATCGATCTGAAGGCAGTCAACCTTGGGAAGTCGGACCACGAAGTGAAGTCTGACAGCTTTAGGAGCACAGACAGAGATGGACAGTCAGAGAGAACTAAACAGTACAACAATGAAAAGTACAACGGAGGACAATATAACGCAACAGAGCACAACAATGCACAGAACTACTATGGACGTCAGGTCTATTACGGCGAACAAACCGACTACGGTGGACAGTACGATAATGTACAGTACGACTATGAACAGTATAACAATGGAACGTGTATCGGTGAATCGTATCACGTTGAACAGTATAACGGTGAACCATATATCGGTGGAGCGTATAACGGTGTAGAATATAACGGTGAAGAGTATATGGGTGAACCGTATAACGGTGAACCGTATAACGGTGAACCGTATAACGGTGAACCGTATAACGGTGGGCAGTCTACTGTTGGACCGTATAACGATGAACAGAATAATGGTGGACAGCATAACGTTGAACACTGTAACGGTAGACAATATAAGGGTGGACACAGCGACTACGGTGAAGATAGTGTGTCCAGTGCACAAAGCGATTCTGATGGACAGATCCGGTTAGGTAGACAGAGCGAACAAGGCGACAATGGTAGCCAGTGCAATGATGGACAAAGAGACACCGGTGGAGAGCACAAGTACGGAGAACAATATGTCCACAGTAAACAGATTGTATGTAATGGACAAATGGAAAACGATAGACAGATTGACCATGATGGAGAAAGCGACGACGCCAGACAGTACACCGTTAGACGCTACAATGGAAAGATCGATTACGATGGACAGATCGACTACGGTGGACAATACAATTATAGTGGACAAGTTGACTACGGAGGAAAGAACGCAGAGAAAACATCTGATATTCAGTGGTACCCTGCCGCTGAATCTGAACTAGTACGGTTCGCCGCACAAGAGCAGACGGACGACAACGACGCCAAGGACGACGTGAACAGGACTGATAATAGCAAAACGAACATGATATCCAATGCTGATGATGATTATTTGCCACCACCGCCAAAAAGGGCCAAGGCGCCGACATCGAACGCTATTAAGGAGTCGGTGGTGCTACCCATAGATGATGGGATGCCTGAATAATGTCCATGCAATGGTAGGTATATAAACAAAGCACATATATGTATATTACAACAGTAATGCATTTTCCATTTTCAGAAGGATATGTACTAAATGCAAATGAAACTGGAGATCCTGCAAAAGGGGAAACAAGAAATTACGGAAATAATGCAGCTATAGCACATTTGATGCGTCTCTCCATCAATTATTGCAAAACTTAGAATTGTCAGATATAAATATACGTATATTATATTATATATATATTATTATACACTTCATGTTATTTATGTGCGTGTTGCCCCAAATCCCACTTAGCCCACACAGGGACTGTGTGTGCGATGGGCATAAATGTCGCAATTTGTTTTCAAATTTATATGCATTTAAATGCAAATTCAGTTAGGCTTGTTAATAAGTATTTAAATATAGATATTGTATTTATTTTTTTATATGCACTTTGGCAAGCGGCCAACACAAATTCGTATCTAGAAAAAAGAAATGCTGTTAAAATCGAAATAACTTATTCGTATTCAAATTCTCATCAAATTTTTGGTTGGAATGTAAATTGTAAAAAACAAAAAAAAACAAATTAAGACTTTTTCATTAATTTTAAAATAGTGTCCCGTCTGAATCGGGTTATTTCTCTAGATTTATTTGGAATGGGAAATGATTTTATTCTTTTTAGAAATACGATTGATTAATTTTTCAATAGCTCCTCCGTCTGAAACGTGTGCCTCGGAAAACAGGTGAAAAGTGAGCTGAAAGCAATTAGCAATGCAAGCTGTGACACCCACACACACACACACACACACACACTCACACTCACACACACACACACACAGGCATAAGCCTAGCGAGTGGAAATACACAACCAGCTGCAATTAAAGGCATTCGCATATTGGCACATTGTTTCCGCGCCTTCGACAGGCAACCCAGTCCGGTTTGGCATCCAAACTCTGGGTGCCAGCTGAATGGAAGCAACTGCCTGAATGAGTGACAGTCTTAATTACAGAGAGATTAGCATGGCCGGGCAGACGGTCCGCGGGCGCACGTCGTCCCTGCCTCCATTGGAGCCAATGTCTCCAATGTGGGCTCAATGGCTCAGTGGCGCGCGGTGGTTGATGCTTGTCGGTGGTTGGCTGGCGGCGCAGACGAATTGTATTCAATGTCACGTTTCGTGACGATGACGCTGCGCCCTTAGATGATAAAAGGTGAGAGCCGCACAGGTGGGTGCCGCTGCCAGAGGCTGCAAGCCGTGTATCCCGGATGCCTACGCCTGGCCATGCCTTGCAGTTACTTGTGCCTGATGCCGCTGCTGCTTGGCCGCTTTTGTTACATTTGATTGTCGCAAACGAAGTGGAAAAGTAAATGTTACACACACACACACACACGCGCACATGCAGCATAACGGAACTGCACACTAATTACTTACTCCTTGGCAGCAGGAGAAAACGGAACCCTTTTTACTTTAACGCTTCTATGCTTCGGCCTCTTTACACTCTTTATTTGCCTTTCATTCTCTTTATTTCTTTTGCGTTTCTTTTTTCATTCTTCTATTTTATTTTTTTTTTTTTTTTTTTTGCAAGCGATAATTGAAAAGCAGCAGCAGAAATGATTGGCCTTTGTTTGCGCGCACGCAGCAAACGGGCCACGGGCGACCACTTGTCGGCCAGAGGGGAAGAGGGGAAGTGGCTGCAGACGCATGGCAAAAGTCATTCAGCCTAGTTAAATACAATAGGACTCGAGCTACAGATACATACATTCAGCTAATATCGTTTTAATGGAAATGGGAAAATTAATAACTCGCCATGCTGTGCGCCATGAGCAATGATAACAGAAGTCAATTAATCCTGAAATATGAGTATTTTGCCCTTACGAATACCTTTTATTTTTGTTTTGCTGAGAAATTCTTAAATGTAGCATGCAACAACTGTCTTAAAACTATTTTAAATATATTCATGTCCTTATCAAAATTGTAAGTATAAATAAAATCACCAGCTTCGGTAAGATCAATTAATTGCCAATTTTTGAGGTTAGGTTAACTTCCGTTGACACATTTCCTTTTATAATAATAATACACATTAAAGCCCTCTACCATTAATAATACCTTTTAAATGTTTCCCAATCAAGTAAAGCGATATTTTGTATTTAAATGGCGCCCGTCGATTTGCATATCGTTCTGTGCAATCATAACCTCAATGTTTTAGCTGTGCACGCAAAGTTTTACCAAAACATGTCGAAGCACCAAAAGAGGCATAAAAACATTAGCTAATTGCTTTGTTATTCCAATTCCTGTCACACACACACACACACACACACAAACACATGCATGCAGACGCTCACATGCACTAAAATATAAGCAAAACAGAAGTCAAATCTTGACAAATAAAAATAAGAGAGACAACAGCATAGGTGAGTCGAGTCCCTTGCCGAAATGTCATTGCATTTGTTCGCTCTCATTACTGTTGTTTGTTGGAAATTCAATTAGTGCGCGTGAACACGCAGCTCAACATACCCAGTTGGAAATATACAGCAGACGTTACAGCTTGCAAAATCAGGGAACAATCATGAGATGTTTTTTTCAGAGTTAACCTTTTTTGCTTAACATAGTTAATTGACAATCTTTAGTTTTAATATATATACATAAATATATTACATTTTCAAATGTGGGTGAGACTCTTTATCCTTTTCAGATCTAAAGTGCATCTGTCAAGGTCATCGTTTTTTGCCCGCTCGAAATTCCTTCTGGGAAGGCCATGCACACATGCATAGATAACCAAGTGCATGGAAATTAGCACATTTCTTAATTAACCCTTTTACGTGGCCCAAATCTTTTTTTGTCTCATTACCTTAGATTTGACATGTGAGTGTGAATGCATATCCCAAATGCATTTCAGACTGTGCGGAAAAGTGTATGTATGTATCTTTGTGTATTGGAAAAATGATGTTCAATTAGTTGTTACTATTACAGATAATTTCGCAAAATGCATTTAATAGCAGTTAATCGGGTAAAATTATTATTTTTATCGCATTTTGCATGTACGCGCGCGCAGTACAGATTTTAAGTTTGCGCTCAAAGCTTGAGTGAATTTAAATTCTAACAGTTGAGCACAAATGTAAGTTAGCGTTGCCACACGACAGTGCGAACTAAGCGATGGTATTGCGCACACTCTTATCGGCACTACAGTGTTGCTATTACCCAGCGATAGGTCGATTACGTAAAAATGGCATAGAGAAAATCGATACTCCAAGGCCATCACTAACATTTGGCAAAGACGCTAAACAACGCAAAAGCAAAAAATGAAAATTTCACAATAACTTGCGCCAAAAAATATTTACAAGCTGTAAAAATATAACAACTGCATTAGAACACAACCAGCATTATTGATGATCCGTGCAGCAGTGAATTCAGCTCAACACAAATAAAATAAAGTCAACAATAAAAAGCAACGCGGCAAATCGTGTAGGTAGAATTGGCCCAGTTGGTGGCAGAAGAGGTGGAGTTCGGAGAGTATTGAGCGCAAGTCAACAACGTAAACAGTTGGATAAAATGTACAGCCACTATTAATACAACATAAAAGTGGCGTTGGTTTCGGATTATACAAATAACGAACGGTACTTCTTACAAAATATGCAAGTAAGTTCTGCCCGTTCTTTCAATATCCCATCGAATCATTTACTAACCAAACGAGGTTTGCAGCAAGCGGATGACCCACCATCGCTGCCCGTGGGCACTGAGGTGAGCGCCAAATACAAAGGAGCATTCTGTGAGGCCAAAGTCAGTAAAGTGGTGCGCAACATCAAAGTAAAGATCGCCTACAAACAAGGTCTGGGCTCGGGCATCGTATCGGACGATGCCATCAAAGCGCCACCAGGCCAGCTGCGCGTTGGCGCCACTGTCGAGGTGCGTCATCCGGATCGCAAGGAGACCGTAGAGGCGACCGTAACCAAAATTCAGGATTGCTCCCAGTATACGGTCGTCTTCGACGATGGCGACATTACGACGCTGCGTCGCACGGCTCTCTGCCTCAAGAGCGGCAGGCATTTTAATGAGAGCGAAACCTTGGATCAGCTGCCGCTAACACATCCAGAGCATTTCGGCAATCCAGTAGTCGGCGGTCGACGCGGACGGCGACGAGGTCAACTGAATGATGGCAGCTCCGATGACGATGACGAGAGCGATGCCAAGGAGGTGGTCAACGAGAAGGAGGAGCACATTGGCAAGGTTGTTTGCGTTGAGACCGAGTCCAAGAAGAAGGACAAGGAAAAATGGTTTCCCGCGCTTGTCGTGGCGCCCACAGCGCAGGTCAGCAAGCAGGTAAGTGAAAGCCAATTTCTAGCTAAGGTTTGCATTCAATGCAATTCCCAATCCAAATTGTAATTTACACGCATTTACCATTTACAGGCCACTGTGCGCATACGCGTCAAGGACGAATATCTGGTGCGCTCGTTCAAGGATGGACGCTACTACACGGTGCCCAAGAAGGAGGCGAATGAGTTTACACGTGAAATGGCCAGCAAGCAGGATGTGCCCGCTGTACAGGCGGCCCTCGAGTTTCTCGATAGCAGCAAATTGCCCGCCCACTGGGATCGCGACTCGTTATTCGGCCTGTCCAATTTAACCAGCGATGATGACGGCGAGATCGATTCGGATTCATCGGATGATGAGCCGCACGAGGAGAAGGATCTATTTGTGGCACAGCTATACAAATATATGGACGACCGGGGCACACCACTCAATAAGGTGCCATCCATACAAAGTCGCGATGTGGATCTCTATCGCCTGTTCCGGGCGGTACAGAAACGCGGCGGCTACAATCGCGTGACCACCAAAAATCAATGGAAAATGATTGCCATGCGCCTGGGCTTTACGCCGTGCACTTTGAGTATTATGAATCTGGTGAAGCAGGCATATAAGAAATTTCTCCAGCCGTATGGTGATTTCCATCGCAAGCTCGGCTGCTCCATGCTGATGACATCGCGCAACTCCAATCGCAGCAAAGGCCGCAGTCTTGTGCGCGCCAACTCGGTGGCATCACCCAAGCCGGCTGAAACCACCAAAATGGAAACCATAAGCAAACTGGCAATGGCTAATCAGACAACTGTTGCTGCCAGTAGCGTTGGCCCCACCGCGTCTGCGGCGGCAGCAACTGCAACAACTGCGGCAGCTAGCAGTAGCGGCAGTGCGACGACTGCCACGCCCGTACGCGCAGCCTCAACAGCCTCACAATCAGCAGCTGAGGAATCGGAGAACACCAGCGAGTCCAGCGTGGTCGTAGAGCCGGTGAAGAAACAGCGCAAAGCATCCGCCGCCAGCAGTGGCAAAGTCAAGAATCTAGTGGAGAAATATGAGGAGAAATCAGGCATATCCAACGTTGCGCCGGCAGCAACAGGCGCCGCCCCAACTGCAAGTGTCAGCAGCACATTGGCATCCGCATCCACGACGACAGCAGCGGCAGCTGCAACAGCTGCTGCTGCTGCGGCAGCAGCAACAATTGCAACGGCGAGCGCCAAAGCGGACGCCGAGGCGGATGTGCCACTGTCAAAAATCAAGGCCGCGGCAGCATCGACGCGCAACAGCATAGACAAGGAGCCCAACGTCGGTGGCAGCAATGCATCCAGCAAGGCAGCCTCAGAGACGCAGCGAAGTCGCGATGCATCCCCCACAGCGGGTAAGTGCAACCCATTTGATTTAACTGTAAGATTCCTGCATACACAATCGGTGCGACCTACTCTCCAGATCATCAGGTTCTAGATTAGTTCCCTTGTCCAAGTGGAAGTTCAGTCAAGGCCCACAATTGTGTCCTTAATTTGTAAATGTTTTTTTAAGATTTATCACATGGTCAGGCTAAAACTTTGCTCAATCTATATGCAAATTGACAGACAGACGGACTTGGCTATTTCTACTCAACTGTTCAGGAATATATATATGTATATATATATATTTCTTTTGGGCTCGGAGTTGTTTTCTCCTAAGCGTTACACGTTATTCGATAAAAAGATCTCAAATCGTTGTCTTTCATGTATATAATTTAAGGCAAAAAAATGTAATATCGCTCTTCTCCCATAAGTCATCGATATATCCGTGAGTCCATGTCAGATAAGTCTCACTTTGACCTTGTGATAGGCATTGGCGAGAACCCCACGCAGATTCCATATATGTTCAAAGGCCTCCGGCTGCACGTTGTAGGCGGAATCGACGGCCTTGGCCCAAATCTCAAGATTCGGCTGCTTTTGCTGCTCGTCGCTTACAGGCAAACGGGCCGTCCATAGTGACCAGCCATAGTGACGACCATCGGGCACATTCTCCTGCTCCAGCTGGGCGACATGCCACGATTTGCCACCATCAGTCGTTAGATCCACGCGCTCAATACGCCTACCACCCCCGCTCCAGGCATAGCCACGCACCGTTATGAAGCCCTTGTCAACCTTCACCCGCTCCTCGGGTATCGGTGTGCAAATGGCCGAGGTCACGGGCATGGCCTGTATGGCCTGCGCCTTGCTAAAGTCAACTGTGTCCCAATCTGTGCTGGGGCTGAAACCCTTGTAGTCGTTCTGCTGCCAGTGGGAGTCGGACTCGTGATCGGTGACAACGATGCGGGTCAACCACTTGACATTGCGTGCGCCCACAGTGCCGGGCACAATGACCCTTATGGGATAGCCATGATCTCGACTCAGCGGCTGTTCGTTCATTTCGTAGGCGAGCACCACGTCGCCGCGTGGATCCAATGCCTTGGACAGTGGTATGGAGGCGCCATATGGATGGGCAGTGGGATCCAAATCGGCACCCTCGAATATAACATGCAAACGTTCATCGGGCTTTACGCCCTGCGCCCGCAGCACATCGCAGAGCCGTGCACCCGACCATTTGGCATTGCCCACTGCGCCGGCGCCCCAGGAGAGGCCTGAAACAAGAAGATAAGATGCTTAGGCTAGACTTGGACAGTTAGTTTGTGACATACCCTTGACTGGCTTGATGCGCGTCATTTCGGAGCGCCGATTGCCGCCGCACATGATGGCCGCTGTGACCGTGTGCTTGGGCAGCTTTTTAATCTCGTCCAGATTGAGTGTACGGCTCGGCTGCCCAGCGCCCGACTCCACCTCCAGCTCCAGTTCGTATTCCTCGGGCTTAAGTGTTGGCACCGGCAAATGGTTGCGCACATAGAAGTACTCGTTGGGGGTGTAGAAGTGCTCGCCCAGCAAACTGATCGGTGGCTCCGCATTGAAAGGCCGTTTGCTGGTCGGCTTGAGCAGATCATGACGTTTCGGCTCCTGGGCCCAGGGTGAGCCCAGCTCCTCCTCATCCTCCGCAACGACTTTATTCAGACTGCCAATGCGAAAGCTCTCGAGCAGCTGCAGCACCTCCTGTGTATTGTGCTGCTGATAGATGGCCCAGAAGGGATCTATGGCATTGCCAGCCGCCATTAGAATCTTGTCGCCGCCGGGATGATTGGGCGCAAATTCCGTGACATCATAAACGCCCACACCGTAGGTGATCCAAATGCCGTTCTCTGGTTTATCGTGACGCAGCACGTCCTCCACGCTGTATGTGGGCAGATCCGAACGCTTTGTCTTATGCCAAAGACGCGCCTCTGCCTCAGCATCCAATCCAGCTGCAGTCGGTGTTGTCAACGGTTTTGTCTGCTCCAGCGGCTGCTGGCGCTTTTTGTCCAGCTCATTGAACAGCCAGTAGCCAGCTCCAATGCCGCCCAGCGTGGCAATTCCATAAAGTGTGGCATTAAATGCTCGACTGTTCTGGTTTCCTTTGCTCCCATCCTGCTGTTGCTGTCCTGCTTGAGCTGCACTTGTTCCCAGCAGGCGATGACGCTGTTGATTACTGAGTCGCAGCTGCCTGCTGGCCGAGGTCAGGAAACGAAGTCGCATGATTATATAAGCATTCACTGCCAAGCAACTAATTCCGTTTAATGCCCCGTCCCTCCGCCGCTGGTCGCATTGTCTGGAATGCGAATAGAGAATAGAAAACGTTTCGATTGCTGTTTGTGTTTTTAATTTTTCGGCATTGGCCTGCCCAGCTGTCGCAGTGTTTGAACTATTGATAAGATCAATTTGACTTCAATTTAATCTTTGCTCTCTTTTAATCTCTACTTTATTGGGGGCCTGCTCCGAGCTTTCTTTTTGGTTTCTGTTTGTGCTCGCCTTTGCGTTTAGCTTTTGTTGCGCCGGCATAAGCACGTACACACACACACACACCTGTTTGCTGTTTTTTATTTATTTTTTTTCGTATTATCGATAGTTCGTGCCGCGCTATCGGCACGTACAAGATCTTGCCAGTGTTACCAACAATCGTAGATTAAAAATAGCTGGCATAAGCACTTAAATTAGCTGCAAGTAGCTAAATTTAATGAGAACATGCCCAATTTAATTAGTCAAATTTAATTTCCTTATGTATTACCAAGCATATGCATTGTATTATCAAAAGGTTGCATGTTCTAAGCAACTCGTATATAAAGAAAAGCAATGCATATCTGGTTGACAACAGCTCAGCTAAATTGGCACAGCTAGTGGTAATGTCGATAAACACAGCCGGAGTTGTAGTAGGGGCTTTCCCTTTAGCAATCAAATATGCATGACTAATGGGCCTAAACTATTTATTATGATTGGAATGTCACAAATATAAGTAACAGTATGCGCACACGCATAAGACAGCAATAGCAACAGTTATTCATGCGCATCCATCTCTTTCTAACCCATGCAGCATCAACTGCAGCTGCAACAATAACAACAACCAGCTCAGGAGCCACAGCGAAAAAGGAGAAACATCAACAACGCAAACAGGTGGAGAAAAGCGACGAGAAGCGCGGCAAACGCAAGAAGGACGAAATAACTGTTGAGAAATTTGATACAGGCGATTTTAAAGTCGGCATCGGCGACAAATTGAAGGTCAATTATCACGAAAAGAAATCGCCCAGCTCCCATGGCAGCACCTACGAGGCGAAGGTCATCGAGATCAGCGTACAGCGCGGCGTGCCCATGTATCTGGTGCACTATACCGGCTGGAACAATCGCTACGATGAGTGGGTGCCGCGCGAGCGCATTGCCGAGAATCTAACCAAGGGCTCCAAGCAAAAAACACGCACCATCAGCACCAGCAGCGCCAACAGCGGTGGTGCCCCCACCCAAGCAGCCAACACAAGCAACAATAGCAGCAGCGGCGGCGGCGGCGGCAGTGGCAACATCAGCGGTCCCAGTGGCAACAGCTCATTGTCGCTTAAAGATGCGTCCGGCAAAGCGGCGTCCAGCGCGGATCATCAGCAGCAGGCATCGGGCACTGGCACGGGCGTCGCCATGCTGCAGGGCCTGGCCAAGACGCCGACATCGACAGCGACAACACAGGCGGGCGGCAAACGCGGACGTGGACGCAGCGACTCAATGCCACCGCGCTCCACCACTCCCTCGTCGGTTGCCTCCAATTCAAGTCGCACCAAATCGCCAGCCGCCTCGCAATCTCAGGTCCAGCTAAAGCATAAACGCCCCATCCGCACTTTGCCAGCGAATAGCAGCATCAACAGCAATCAGGGACGTCGCATCTCTGCCTCCGCATCCGTGTCGGCAAATGTTTCGGATGCCTCCACGGCGAGCGATACTGACACCGATTCCGATGAACCTGTGCGTCGTCCCAAGCGGCTCAATACCAAGGAGCAGCAACAGCTGCAACAGAGCAAGGCAAAGGCACAAGCAGCAGCGACAGCAGCCGCTGGCAGTGGCAAAAAGGTGGCACCGGTTCGACGCACCAGCGTCAGCGAGTATAGCGACGAGGATGAGGAGGAGGAGCAGCAACAACAACAACAACCGCCGCCGCCGCCAAGCAAACAGCAGGCACAGCAGCACCAGCCGCCGGCTGTGCAGCGACCGCGTGCAGGAAATCGTGCCATGAGCAGCGGAGGCGCCAAAGGACGCGACTATGATCTCAGCGAGATACGCTCAGAGTTGAAGGGCTTTCAGCCACAGCTGCTGGAGCGCAAAGATGCCATCAAGAGCGAACTGAGCGATGCGCAGGCCAAACAGGAGACCAAAACGGGCAGCTCCACGGAGCAGTCGTCCGAAACGGATTCCTACATTGACGAGGATTCGCAGTCATCTGAAAAACTTGATTATCGCAAGCAGCCGACGATCAGCGACAAGCGCAAGGCCGCTGCCGGAGCAACAGCAGCCACAAGCAGTGCCTCCTCCTCCGGAAATGCGGAGCAGCAGCATTCCAGCGAGCCAAACATCAAGAAAGAGTCGGACAAGCCGCATATCAAACATGAAACGCCAGCCGGCGAGGAGCGCAAGCCATTCAAAACGGAGCCCAAGGAGGATCACCCGAAGCCATTCCACAGCGGTGCCGATATAAAGCCCACAACATCATCTACGTTAATTGCGCCGGCCCGCTTTGGCGCCAACAGCAGCAGCAGCAGCAGCGGCACAGCCAAATGCACATCGGTGATTGTGGAGAAGCCGCTGACATTGCTCAAGAAAGTGGAAAAAGCCGAAGCGTCAACATCAACGGCAACATCAACAGCTACGGTGGCAACAAATACACTGCTGTCTGGCAAGAAGCTGGAGCTGCTAAAGAAACAGCAGCAGCAGGCAGCTGGTGCTGGCAGCTCCATGGATGCTGGCAAAAAGTTTGTGGAGCCGGTGCTGCATAAGGAGACGGCCACATTGAAGGTGGAACTGCCGGCTGCCTGTTCGCCCTCCTCGTCCAGTTCGTCCTCCAGCTCGTTCTGTTCCAGCAGCAATTCGGTGGCCACTACGGTTAGTCTGAGCAGCAGCTCCTCGGCCACACGCTCGCTGCCGGACATGAGCAAACTGGAGATCAGCAGCGGCACAACAACAGCAGCAGGAGCAACCGGCTCATCTGGCGGCATGGCCAAGGAGACCAAGTACAGCAGCGGCAGCAGCAGCAGCATGCACATGAGCAACATAACCAGCGGCATTAAGCTGCTCCCCTCGGATGTGTATGAGTTCAAGGACACGGAGCCCTTCGAATTTGAGAAACGCATCTCGCCCATGGCCTCCATCAGCTGTGCCGGCACCTCGGTCATAGCCAGTGGCACTCCAGTAGCTGCCAGCAGCGGCAGCCACGTCGGCAACACAGCAGCAACAGTTGCAGCGCCCGTTGCTGTCAGCGCCGCAGCACGCAAGCAGGCGCTGAAAGCTAGCGCCATAGCGCATAGCATTGAGCAGCATCAGTTGCCACATGCGGCACACGAGCCGCGCAGCTATGCCGCGAGCACAGCAACAACTGCAGCAACAGCGGCAGCAACCACGCCTGGCAAGGCCAAGAAACGCGGCTCGCCGCTTAAGGAAGCCAGCCTCACGTGCACGGACAAACCCAAGCTGATCAAACTGGAGCAGCAGCCGCCGCAGCAGCAGCAGCAGCAGGCAGTCGTCACAGTGCAGCCCTCGCAAGCAGCAAGTCCGAATAGCGGCAAGCCAGCGCCAGCAGCCGCCATCAAAGCATCTGCAGCTGCAGCCGCAGCAATTGCAGGCGGCGCACAGCTAACTCCTGGCCATGCCACGCCCTTCGATGTGCTGCGCAAGTCGCCCAGTTTCAATTTGAATATAACAGCGCTCAACGAGGAGCTCGCCCAGACGGTGCAGGAGACGACGCGCGCGCTAACGGATGCACTGCAGCCGCCCACAACACCAGCAACACCGCCGGCAGCAGCAGCAGCGGCAGTAGCAACATCAGCCGCAGCTGCAGCTATGTCGGGCGCATTCACACCGGTCATAGCTGTGCCCGTTTCACCCAAGCTGGGCACGCCGCCACAGGCGTTGGGCGTGGCCAAGACAACACAGCAACAGCAGCAAATCGTGGGCAGTCCCTTTATGGAGACGCGCAATGTGTTCGAGCTGAGCACCTCGAACGAGGGCAGCGGCTACAGTTCCGGTGAATCGAACAAGGACAACAAACTGGAGAAGCTGGAGAATGTCAAGATATTGCTGGCGGGCACAGCGGGTCCCTTCGATTTGGATGAGGTCAAGTACGAGCAAAAGCCCAGCTCCATAGCGGACAAGGTGCTCAAGGCGATCAGTCAGAAGAAGGAAGAAGTGCAGCAAAGTAAAACCAAATGCCAAACAGACAACAACACAGACAAAGACGAACCTCCGCAGCATCCAAGCAGCATCAAATTAGAGCTGAGCAGCAGCAGCAGCATCAGCAGCAGCATCAGTAGCAGCAGCTCCACACTGAAGCTGGACACCTTGAAGCTGCTCAGTGAGCCGCTCAAGATACAAACGGGTCCGGCGCTGTCGTCGGCGGTGCTCAGCGATTTTTATCATCGGACGAGCAGCAGCAACAGTCCCGAAACCAAGTCCATATTGGACTCCTCCCTGCCGGCGAAAAATAGCGAGCTGAGCGAGACAATACAAAAGCTCGAGTGCGCCATACAGCAGAGGAAGACGCCAGTGGCGGGGCAATCGTCCATGGCGTCATCTATAGCTGGTACGCCGCCGGTGACGGCAACGGTGGGCACCGCTAGCTTCTCGGATGAGTCGATGGACAGCACCGATTCCGAGCAGCGTCTGGTCATTGAGGATGTTATGGCCGAGGAGCCCAGTACGGTTAGCGAATTGAAGAGTCCAATGTCTGAGGCCTCTGGCAGTCTGACGGGCAGTGCACCCGTTAAACTGGAGCTGGCTGCTGCGGGCAGCAAACAGCTGACGGCGGGTCTCCAGGCGCCAATTGCGCTGAAGCCGATGTTGTTGCTCCAGCCGGGCATGCCGTGTGGCCCAAACACTTACCCAACCAAGGAGCTAGCTGCAATTGCAACAACTCAAACAACAGCAGCAACAACAATAACAACAGCGGCTGGCGGAGCAGCTGCCTCCACGGTGCTGCCACCGGGCGTGCCCATTGTGCTGCCCGAAATACCCGTATCTGTGGTGGTCGCACTGCGTCACAGTCCCGGCAGCGCCAGCCCCGCCTCACCCATGCCGGAGCACAAGCTGGCGCCCAAACAACCGCTGCCCGCCGATGATGGCGGCCTGCTGCTGAAACCGTACACGGTTCAGATCAGTCCGCCGCTGCACGATGCCCAGACGTCGGCCGTGGAGGCCAAAGCTGCGGCATCGCCATTGTCGCGTCCATTTGTCTTGCAGCAGGCCAAGGAACAGCCCATGCATGTCTCGCCCGCTGCTGGCAGTCCATTGATCAGTGAGGCCACCCACAGTGAGGCGGCCATCAATCTGCTATGCGAGGAGACCATACCGGGTAGTCCGGCACCAAACTATACCAGCAAAGACGAACCGATCACCATCACGGGCAGTTCCATGGCCACAGCAACTGGAGCGGTCGTCACTGCCGTTGTTGCCACAAACGCATCCGGTTGCTCCAGCTCCACGCTGACCATACCGGGCATAACACCATTGCCACCGGATACACCGCCGCCGCGTGTCACGACAGCGACTCTGGTTGGGCAGTCAGCGCAGGCGGCTTCGGTGTCGCCCAACAGCTCGCCGGAATCGCCGGCCAGCCCGGATGATAGCAGCGAGGAGACAGGCAGCAGCAGTCTGCACAGTGCGGCCAAAAAGTATGCGGAACTCGAGAGCAACGTGCTCAGCGGCAGGCGCAAAAGGCGTGCCAAAGCCAGCGATGTTAATCTTCAGTCTGCGGTCCATATGACAGCTGCCACCGCCGCCGAGCTGCACGTTCTGGGCAAGCGTCGCAGGCAGCAGTTGAACAGCCAGCGCAAGACGACAACAACAACAGGCAAGTACCAAGATTATATTAATAATACAATTATATATTCATATATTCCCATATTTTTTCTCCGATCTGCTTAGCTGGTTCCGATACCGATGACACTTCCGAGAATGTTGTCACACCGCAGCGCCATAGCACACGACAGCAACTGTTGCCGCAAGGGCAGCAACAGCTGCAGCAACAACAACAGCAGCAACATCAGCAGCAGCAGCAGCATCAACAACAACAACTCCATCAGCAGCAACAGCAGCTGCAACAACAACAACAACCAATACAAACGATAGGCAATGCATCGGGCGTACGACCATGTCCATACAATTTCCTTGTTGAATTGGGTAAGTCCGCAGCCTGAAACTTTGATCCTTAAAGAGGTTATATTAATTTGCAATATTGATCCTGCAGATCCCTCGCTCAGCGCGGAGCAGTGCATACTGATACTGCGCAAACAGATACAGGATTTGCGCAAGGCCTACAACAGCATCAAGGGCGAGCTGGCGGTCATCGATCGGCGGCGCAAGAAGCTGCGACGACGCGAGCGCGAGAAGAAGCAGCAGCAGCAAATGCAGAGCCAGCAGCAGGGCAAAGTTTGCGCATAAGCAATCCAAAATGCAATACATATACATACACAACCTATGTATATATATAAAGCTATAGAAATTCAAAAATTGTAAATTTTGTATCGATTTAAGTCGTTCCTTGAATTCTCCCACTTCACCCTATTCTTTTTTTTTTTTGCTGCCACTCTCCCTCCCCCTCTCTCTCTCTCTCGCTCTGTCTCTTTCTTGAAACTAACAGCTATGCAGCATTCTATGGCCTTCAATCGGAGTTGAAAGCCATTTAAGAATATATAAAGCTTAGCCTAGCATAACTACAAGCAATTATAAATACAGAATGTAATACATCTAAGCCTTTATTGAGTGCGCTTTATTGTTCATATTAATAATATATACATATGTATATATGTATGTTTAGGAGACGGCATAGCCGCCCTCGAGATTGATGTGATGGCCATTGACGAAGCTGGACTTTTGGCTGAGCAGATAGCCAATGGCATCGACCACCTCGTGCACCTCACAGAAACGATTAAGTGGTATGTGCGCCAAGAGTGGCCCACTTTTGGCCGGATCTGTCCAATTGTCACGGCCCATTTTGGTCAGCACCACGGTCGGATTTACAGAATTGACGCGTATCTGGCGTACGCCCAGCTCCAGTGCCAGCGATTTGGTCAGCGAGTCTACCGCCGCTTTTGTTGCACTGTACGCCGTGTGGCCAGCAAAGCTGCGGGATGCGGCTATGGAAGACACATTCACAATGGAGCTGCCATTGCGCAGCTTGGGCAGCAGCGCCTGTGTCACATTGAAGACGGCCTTAATGTTCACATTAAAGTGGCTGCGAATGGGCATATTAGCAACAATGGCAGTTTGGACTTGAGCAAAACAAATACATACGTATCGAAATCCTGTTCGGTCAGCTCTTCAAATGGTTTGATAATGGCCACGCCCGCATTGTTCACCAGTCCATCGAGCTGTGGCACTGCGGCCAGACCCTCGCGCACCTTATCCCAATTGGACAAATCGAGCAGCAGTGGCTTGATGCGTTGCGCATCCGAAGCAACCAAATCCTTCAGCTGCGCCTCGCTGCGTGCCACCGCAATGACAGTGGCGCCCGCGCTGGCCAGCTGCTTGACCAGAGCATTGCCAATGCCAGCACCGGCGCCGGTCACCAGTATCACCTTGTTTTTAAGATCGCTCCACATTGCTTCTTATTTTTTTTTTCTTTTTTCGTTTTTAAGCGGAAAGTTTTTTGTGCTTGCTGTGCTAGCTGGTCCCCAGCGACTGCTCCCGGTATGCTGTTCTACAGTGTTTGCATATTATCGCTTTAATCCGCAACGAGCTTTCGAACGGACCAAGCTCTAGTTGCCCTCTCTCTCTCTCTCTCTCTCTCTCTCTCTCTCTTACACACATTTTTAGAAGTCTCCCTTAGTGCTGGCAGATCAGTAGGGCATTCAATGTCATGCCAATAGTTTGCTCTACGGTGCGCTGCTCTACTGATAAGCAGCTTTTACTGACGACGATAAGCAGCTAACTCTGTAGATGCTGTAGATGGATTTGTGTGATCTACCTTTAAATATAGCTCAGTCATGCAAAGCCCATTAGCTTGGCATATGTAGACTTTATGCATATTAACTTTTATAATTTGCTGCAGCAAGTTTAAACTTGCAGCTTGCATTTCTGTGCAATTTTGCAATTTCTTTGTGATATAATTGTCTTACATCTGATTGACTTATATTGCTTACAATAAATATTTAAAATTAGCTTGCCGTTGGCTCCCAATCTGAAGCCGAAACTACATATCTTGCATCGTTTTAAAATAATTTTGGTTGACTCTAAAAAGTGTGCTTCAATTTTTTTTAATTCGAAATGCAACTATCGATATCATCTAAATATCGCAGCATCGATATATTGTTACATCTCTAACTGAAACAAGCGCCGGCAAAAACACAATTAATGGACATTTGCAGTTACAGACAAAACGTAAACATTAGTTAAAGATAATATCACTGGAAATGGCGCAAACGGAACCCGTAGGTAAGTGTCGCATCTCAAGCTATATTCCACTGGCTGGTAACCGCTTCTATTGTTTACCAGCAGCAAAGCGCGCCAAACTGGAGACGAAACCGAAGCCCGTATTGGAAGAAGATGGTAGGCATATAAGAATTAAATTTTCTGTAAGAGTATTAAGTGTAAACATTTCAATTGCATGCAGAGACGCCGTCGGTGTTCAATCCCAAGTATCGCGTCTGCCCCTATCTGGACACAATCAACCGCAATCTGCTGGACTTCGATTTTGAGAAGCTGTGCTCCATATCGCTGACTCGAATAAACGTTTACGCCTGCCTCGTGTGCGGCAAGTATTTCCAGGGGCGTGGAACCAACACTCACGCCTACACACACTCAGTGGGTGAGGCGCATCATGTGTTCCTCAATCTGCATACGCTTCGCTTCTACTGCCTGCCGGACAACTATGAGATCATCGATTCCTCGCTGGACGACATCAAATATGTGCTGAATCCGACATTTTTGCGCAACGAGATCAGCAAACTGGATAAGGTGCAACCGAAGCATTCGCGCACCGTTGACGGCATTCTGTACCTGCCTGGCGTGGTTGGCCTCAACAATATCAAGGCGAACGACTATTGCAATGTGGTCCTTCATGCCCTGTCGCATGTCGGTCCATTGCGGGATTACTTTTTGCGTGAACAAAACTATGCGACGATCAAACGGCCGCCGGGTGATTCGATGTTTACGCTGGTGCAGCGATTCGGCGAACTGATGCGCAAAATGTGGAATCCGCGCAACTTTAAGGCGCATGTGTCGCCGCACGAGATGCTGCAGGCGGTGGTGCTGTGGTCCAGCAAACGTTTCCAAATTACCGAACAGGGTGATCCCATTGATTTTCTCTCCTGGTTCCTGAACACGCTGCATCGCGCCCTCAAAGGCAACAAGCAGCCAAACTCGTCCATATTGTACAAGATATTCTTAGGTGAAATGAAGATCTATACCCGAAAAATTCCACCCGTTGAGCTGGACGATTCCGCCAAGCAGCAGTTGCTTGCCACCGATGAGTACAAGCATCAGGTGGAGCACACAAACTTCATATATCTGACCTGCGATCTGCCGCCGCCGCCGCTATTCACGGATGAGTTTCGGGAGAATATTATACCGCAGGTGAATTTGTATCAGCTGCTGGGCAAATTCAATGGCAGCGCCGAAAAGGAATACAAAACGTACAAGGATAACTTTATGAAGCGCTTCGAGATAACACGACTGCCCCAATTCATAATATTGTACATCAAGCGATTTACCAAGAACACATTCTTTCTCGAAAAGAATCCCACCATTGTTAACTTTCCCATCAAGTAAGCGCGAGCGCCATCAGTTCACATTGCTGGTTTTTTTCTTATATCATGTATTTCCTTGCAGAAATGTGGACTTTGGCGATATTCTGGGCATGAAGCAGCGCGACAAGGCGCTCAAGGAGACCAAATACAATCTGGTTGCGAATATTGTGCACGACGGCGATCCCAAGAAGGGCACCTATCGCGTGCACATACTCCACAAGGCCAACGGGCAGTGGTATGAGATGCAGGATCTGCATGTCACCGAAATACTGCCACAAATGATCACACTGACCGAATCCTACATACAAATCTATGAGCGCAGCGGCGAGCCCTAGTTGTAATTGTACATATACATATAGTTGTATGCAGGCTTAAATATTAAAATGTGCGTGTCTCATGTCAGCTGTGTGTTTAGGTGTTTATGTCCATTGCCCAGCAGGCGCATGCGTCATGGCCCAGTTGTTGGTTCTAAGCATTCATTCATTCACATTCGTCTCTCGCACATCTCGAAAATCGATGTGTGTATTTGATGTTGATTAGTCGCAGCTAGAAAGCCCAAGCCTAAGTCATGGCGGATCCGAACAGCAGCTATGAGCAGGAGTGCCAGCGAGCCGAGCTGCTTGGCGTGCAGCCGCCGGATAGAGAGGAATTTGAGCGCCAGCGCAAGGAACGCCTGGAACAGCAATTGGCTGAAGAGGAGGTCGCCGAGGCAGCCGTAAGTGTCACGATTTTTAATGGGCATATTCAAGGGCATTTCAAGCATACAAACTCATGCTCAACCTGCTCCCAATTACAGCTGCTGGTGCAGCAGGAGGAATCGCTGCACGGCGCCAGCGGCAAGCTGGATGAGCTAAATAGCATATTGTCCAGCACGCAGCAGCGTTTGAATCGTTTCAAGCAAAGTGCATGCGGCAGTCTGACAAACATTTTCACGCGCGGCGGCAGCATCAGTAACACTGCCAGTGCATCCATGGACGTGCCCAGCATTGCCAGCAGCGGCGGCAGCGGCATTGAGGAGCCAGCCGAGCAGCCAGTGCAGCGTCAGCCGAAGCCAATGCCACCGCCCACAGCGGCAGAGGTAGCCGCGGCCAAGGCGGCCAAGCGTGTCATGATGGACGGTCAGCTAGACAAACTAGATTCCATGATCAACAAGGCGGACAATGCGCAGCTGGCCATGAGCGAGCAGACGAAGCAAATGCGTCGCATAACCAAGTGAGAGACGATATTGTTTTTGGTTTTTGTTGTTGTTGGGGATTAGGTAACTTATACAAAGCATTTTTTTTTATTCAGTTCTCTGATTGCTCCAAATATATATATATATATATACATATATACTTATATATAACTGAACACATGCGTTGGCCTAAATCACAAAATAATTAAACATAGTCGAGATTTTCAATCACAAATTTGCAAAGCTTGTCTTCGCATTTGGTTCATATATATATATATACATATACGAATCAATATAAATATATATGTGTATATATAAGTATGTTCTATACTTAATACTTCTTGCTAAATATTAATCAAATTAAATTAATTGAATAAAATTACATACTCAAAAAACAAAACATACAAAATTAATAAACAAACATTTGATTCATTTTCATTTCATACACAAGCAATCCTTGACAAACAAAAATTGTAGAAAACCTGAGCCACGCCCAGTTTCTAGTCGCTGGTATCTGGATTTGGATTTGGATTTGGTGGCTGCGATTGCTTGCGCTTCTTCTGCAGCGGCCAGCGCTTGACCAGGTTCTGCTCGTAGGCCATAATTGGTACGGATTTGTTGAGCAACGATGAGGTCAGTTCGCTGTCCGAGTCCGAGCGCTCGTCATCGCTTTCATCGGCCTCATCCAAACTGGCATCCAGACCCGCATCAGTCTCATAGTCATCCTGCTTCTTCTGCAGCTGCTCCTGCTGTTGCTTCTTCAGCTGCAGCTCCTGTTGCTGCTTCTTCTGCTCCTGCGGCTGCTGCGTAGATTTTTGGTTTGTCAGCACAGTCTGCACATTAAATGGGAAAGGCATCGTTTTAGACAAAGTGCATAAAGGGCATGCATTTTCGAGATACTCACATTGACACGGCCCTCCTTCTTCCTTTGCTGGTTCAGCAGCTCCTGCTGCTCGTTCTCGTAGAAAAAGTAGGTGAGCAGCAGCTTCTCCTCGGCTGTATTGTAGCGCCAGGCATGCGGTATGAGCATTGAGTTGCAATTAAGGCGCGCTTGCAGCTCCAGGAACATATACGGCGAGATGGTCATCTTGGGCACTTGCATCTGCTCCTGCCACTGTTCCAGCGTCGTCGGATCCTGTTGACAGCTACCAAACACGCGAAAGTACAGCTTGCAGGCGCGAGAATGCAGCAACTGTTGTGGATCGGTTGACTTTGGCGTCTCGCTGCCTGTGCGGCGCAGCACGGACAGCTGCGGATCGAGCACTTGGATAAGCATATAGTGCTGATGTCGATCGGGCATGTTGGCAACCAGCAGGGCGCGACTGTTGCCAGGACAGAATGTGGGCCACAGGTCGTTCAGCAGACGCAGCAATAGCTGCGTCACGGTCGAGTACTTAAAAAGCTGGCGCGGTTCCTGCTGCGGTGCATCCTCGGTCTTGACCGCAGACGGCAGCCAGCGCAATGCATCTGCCCAGAGCTTGGCGGCAGCGCCTGATTCTATGGTCAAGCCCAACATCCACATGCAGCGCTTGCAGTACAGATGCTCCGAGCGGTTAATGACCTGAGCTTCCATAGCGGTCATGTTGAGTACAATGTGATTGAGGCCGTAGAAGAGATCATCGGGACGGGGCACCAGTGTGGCCGGCTTGGCCGCTGTGCCGTGATTGTGGCAAAAGAACTCGCTGGGATCGACGAGGCCGCTGGGAAACTCGCGCAGGCGACTATAGCTGCAGCCGGGCACCAGCTGATTGTGACAATTGCTGCAGTGCAGCGACACGGTCTGTGTGCGCTCCGCAAAGCTGAGCAGCAGCGGCTGTGGCGCCATTGGAAGACCGACGCACTTTTGCAGCGCCTCGAGATCGATGGTTGTGTAGTTGAAGCGGAAGCTTATGTGACAGCCATTCACAATGAAGACCGAAATGCGTTGAATGTCCATGCCGAAGCTGTCGTGACGCAGCACCAGCTCGCTTTCGGTGCTGTCTTTGCCATTCTCGACGATGTGCACGTCGTGCTCCTTGATGATTAGGCGCGTCTTCAGGCGATCGCGTATTTCTTGATCAAATTGCAAAAAAACATGGCCGCTGCTCAAATTTGGGCGCAACTCAATGCAAACGGCCTGGAGCGGCATCTTTGGCGGCAGCCTCTGTCAGTTGACAATTTCAAGCAAGGCAGTACAAAAAGTGAATGCGAATTGTTTTGTTTGACGCTGCGCTAGCGTGATTCAAACTATCGATGTTATTTTATTATCGAAGGCTAACATTTGACTCGACTATCGAATTTGCTATGCTAGCTCGATTCAGCGAATGGTTGCCACTCTCATAGTCTGCTGCTGTTAACAAAAGAATAACAACAATAATGACAATTTGAAAGCGCTTTAGGCGCACTGTGTGTAAGAAACAGTTTTAAGAGCTGATATCGAAAAGTTGTTGCTCGATGCACAGCACGACTGTTAACAAAAGCCAACGGAATTTGAACGGACTTATGACAGGTGGCATCCCTCTGCTGCAGCTGCTTAAAAATATAACAAGTAAATTGGCCTTTATAATGCAAGCGCACCAATATTAAAAAATCATAAAGGACTGTCTGACATATATTATAATGTTTTTATGCATTTAGCCCCAAATACATGTTCTGCTTATGCGAAGCATAAATATGTGCAGTCAGTTGCAACCTTACATACATATTTAAACCATTATAATGCACAGCATAAATGCAACTCTTCGCTTTTCCAGCGCGTATAACGGCAGATTTCCCGCAGGCGCCATTGCTAAAATCTACGCTTGACTAGAATTTACGTTTTGTGTTTCATACATATTTATATTAATAATTTTTGAGTATTTAATTTGTTGATATGGAGGAATGCCGCACGCCAACGGGTCAGCATATATCCAGCTATAACCGTACGCCCATACTGTCGGTGATCAATAAAAATTCCCACAATATACGCTGCTCCACACCCATTTTTGATGACTTGCGTTCCCCCAATATGTCGCCCATTAAGGATATGCGGGCACCTAGAAGGACCACCTCGGCAACGTTCTATAAAAAAGCATTTAAAAAACAACAACAAATGTCGAAGTCCAGCTTGAAGCCACCTGGCCGGAAAGTTGAGGATCGCAACAACAGCTTGGATGAGTTCATGGACGACTCGAGCAGCGGCAACAGTGCGGAAAATTCATTGTGCAAGGAATCACGGCGTCGCTCGCTGCTTGCGGCAAATCACTCGTATGTCATCAATCATGCGAGCAATGTACATGATGTGCTGCTCCTCGTGGGTCTAGAAAGCTATCTTGATAAGTTCGAAAAGGCGCACATTGATCTGGTTGAATTGGTTTCGATGGAGTACAAAGATCTCAAACGATTGGGACTGCGTAATGATGAGGACTGCAATCGCATACTGGACGCCCTCAAAGAAATATAGAGTGCTTGGTGGTATCTATTTGAAGCGATCGCCGGTTGATCTGCTTATTAATTATAGTTTTACTAAATCAAATTTAAAATTTTAATCAAAGCGGTTCTACGATAGTAAAATGTTATATCAATTAGCTTTTGTGTGCCTACATAGCTAATAGGTATGTTGTGTGTGAATGTTCACCATATTAATAATGTTGGTACTTTTATATGAATGCTATCGATAAGTTTATATATGTAACTGTGCGCTATAAACGGCATTAGCCTTGTTAGTTGTGAATCTCTTCAATTAAGAAAACTATTTTTACTCATTACTATTTAATGAAAATAAATTGTTAAAGGTATATTTGAATTTCGCACTCCGTAAGCAAAAGTTTTCATTACATTCTCATTTATTCTTGATTACCCAAATACAACCTAGTTTTAAATGTGTAAAATCATGATTGTGCTCGTTATAATACGCGCCCTTTGTTTACTTGAAATCGATGTTTGGTCGATAAGTTTCGATATAAATCGCTTAGAAAAGTAAGTCGATGTTTTTTTACATCACTAGTTCCTAGTAGGAACGCGAACGCGATTTTTGTGATGGATAATAACAAAGTCCCGTATAAATTCACAAAAACTGTGTAAAAATGCAGCCCATGCATACCAAAACCATAACTAAATTCTGCATCGATTTAGAACTATTAATTGGAGTGCATAAGTAGTGTGACAAAGCAAAATTCTTTCGAAACGGGCAAACAAAAAGGTTTTTTCAACGTTTTCTTTAACGCATTTCGTGCACAAACACACACTAACACATACACATTTGAGCACACATACAGGCATTGATATATGTATATCAATATATTGATGTTGTGCTGTTGCTGTTGTTGTTTGTGTATGCATGTGTTTGTGTGTATGTGTGCGGGAGCGGTGCATTAGTGTATATATGTATCTCTGTGTGTGCGTGCGTTTGTTCAGTGTTTCTGTCTGCCTGAACAGGCTAGAGCGAGTACGTGTGTGATAAAGAGAGAAAGAGTGCGAGCTCGCGCGCAGGTTTCGCGACAAGGCATAAAGAAGGATAAAAGGAGCGAGCAAAGATGAGCAGAAAGCATAAAAGTGAAAAATAATTAAAGGTTGTTAAAGGGACGCGCGCACGGCACGACAACAGCGACGGCAGCAGCAGCAGCAACTACAGAGCAGCTGGTCGTGGTGCAGCGAAAACAGCAACAACGACACATACACATGCTTACATACCAACATATGTATATGCATATAAAACTGTGTGACCAACAACAATTGGCCATTTTGGCGTTCTCTATTTTGGCAGTCACCCACATATACCAAACACAATCGCAGTCACTGCTCCCCCAGCGACTCTCTCACTCTCTGAATCGCTGCTGCTGCTTATGCTGCTGCTGCTGTGGGGGGTACAAATTCACATAGCCGTGAAAAATAGCATGAAACACAACAACGACAATAAACAATAGGCAGCCGTCGCAGTCGCAACAACGCAGCGCGTTCAGTTCGTTTGCTCGCATCTGTTTCTTCTTACGCTTCGTCTTGGTGTCTTTTATTAAAGTTCGCTTTTTTTTTTAAATTATTTTTATTGTTACTTTTGTGCATCCCCCACCACACGGCTCGATAACAATCGCTCGGTCATTTGAAAGCTTATGCGTATGCAGTGAACACACAGTTAGAGATAAGTGTTTGCCGTGACACGAGGCGACCGTGCTTGCGGCACAAAAAATACAGTAATATTAACGCGCACGAAAAGAAATATTTTTGCTCTTTAAATAATGTGTGTAATAGCTAACTATGTATTGAAACAAATGTTGGTTTACAAAAGTTGCTTTAAAAAATAAAATATGTTTTAGCCCGTATTTCGTGTGTGTAGCTGTTCTGAAATCACGCTGCCATCCCCATAAACAAAAACACAATTTAACAAACAACAAAAAAAACAAAAAAAGAAAACAACAAAGACGACAACAAGAGAGCAGGAGAAAGAGAAATAATCAGAGCAAAAGTAGAAGGCGACGCTGCACAAGTCCATACAGGCACACACATACATATGTATATACATAAGTATGTATATGTAAATAAATAGTATTGAAATAAATTTGAAAGCATTAAGCAGCACTTGACAACAGGAAAAATTAAAAAAATAATATAAAATAACAGAAACCAGCTCAACATTTCGCCTTTTACACGAAACAAATTGAGCGTAAATTATCCAAATTGCACTTTACAAAGGAACTTGGAAACGGAACGGAAAATACCAACAGCAACAGCAGCAACAATAACAACAACAACAGCAACAAGAACAACAAAGCAAATATCCATCCAAAAGCAAGAAAACACGCGAAAGACCCCTCAGCAGCAGCTGAATCAATCATAAGCTCGCGCACTGCTTAAAGTTCAGCTTCAACCTGGCGAATCGCAACGGGAGCAACAACAATAGAGCCGATGCCGCTGCTGGCGGCGCAGCTGGCGCTGGCGCTGCCGCTGTAGCCGCCGCGGGCCGTAATAACAACAATAATAACAATAATGCAGCTGCCGCCGGTGGATCTGCTGCTGGAGGCGCTGGCGCCGATGCAAACGCCGCCGCCGGCGGTGGCGGCAACGAGTGGAATCCCGAAGAAATGGATCGATTCAGTTTCGACGATTCCATACGCTTCGAAGAGGATTCCCTCTGCAGCTGGAGCTCCGAGGCGGAATCGTTGTGCAACAATTGGCGCGGCTGGAAAAAGCCCACCACCAACGGAACCGGCACGAGCGCTGGCAATGGGATTGGAATCGGCCCCGTTGCCAGCGCCACCAACAACAGCAACGGCGGCGCCACATTCGGCGCGGCTGGCTGTGGTCCACCCGGTGCGGCCAGTAACGGCATCGCCAACTCAGCCGCAATGGCGGGCGGTGTCCATTGTGGACGCCATTTCGGTAAGTTGACTACAACTATGTATATTCCCTATGCCCTAACCAGAATCGCAATACCAATCCCAACAATTGCATAATCCTCTATCAAGTATGCATGCATATATGTTTTTGATTAGGACTCCATTTACCCATAGCTTATTCTCTGAAAACGTACGTTTCCGTTTTTATAATACACTATATCATATAGCTGCCTTGGGAGTATCCAACTATTTGGATTTTCAATATTTTGATTATTCTTCCAATATACAAGTACAAGAAAACCTATATCAATCGGTGAAAACAGTTTTCTAGTTTACTAAACTCGCCAATTACGAACTTTTCTGTGCTCCCAACACAAGCGACATCTATACTTTATAGCTTGCATTCAGAAAATCGTGCTAAATTTGTATATGAAATGTTTTAACTTACTAAAAAAAAAAGCTAAAGAAGAAATTTGTTGTATTTCTTATCAGATTAGGGGAACGCTCACGTTTGAAGCGATCTGGCAACTGCGGTTATTACATACGACCAAATTACACGCATTACCTTTTCAATGCATGCCCCAAATTCGTATGCCCACATACATAGCTATGTGTGTATGCATTTAATGCACATGCATACAAACGCACATGTATATGTGTACGTGTTTATGTAAAAATTGGCTTAAAGTTGCAGCAACAGCAGCATAAACACAGCGACAATGCAACAACCTCCTGCTTATCGCTAAAGTCAAAATCACGACTTTGCTGGTTACATTTTGCTGCCATTGTCCGTTTACCTTGCGTTACCTTATTCTGTCTGTTCCTCATCTGCACGTCACGTCGTTTTGTATGTATATGTGACTATGCGTTTTTCATTGGCTTTGGTCCGTTCGGGTCCTGTGCGCCGCCGCACCACTATCAACATGTAATCTCAGCAGCGCCGCGACTGCGACTGCGCTGCCGTTGCTTTTCATTGCTCTTTGTTTTGTTATTGTTGTTGCCTGTGTACGCTAGTTTTTTGCTGTTGTTGTTGTCGCTGCTTTTTCGTTTTTTGTTTTGTTATTGGGGGCCAGGCATCTTACTAGGTGAGCGAGAGCTGCCAGCTGCATTTTACGCTGTATGTATGTATGTACTTATGAGTGTAACATTTGTGTGTCTGTGTATACCTGTGTTTTTGTGTCTGTCTCGGTTTGAAACAGAAAATAAAATAATAACCGCAAAAAAGTCAATGTGACGTCGTTCTGCTGTCTTTCGCCGCTGCGTTGGCAATTTGCTTTAGCTGTCGTTTGTGTCAAGGAACCTTTTCAAGGATAATGCCCAAATAAGTGTGTATGAGTTTACGTACATATGTATGCCTGCATTTATGTACATACATATATTCATCTGTACATTCATATTTCTGTATGAACGGCAACCACAGGTATCAGCACCTGCTTTGGCAAGGCCGACAAGAATTGTAAGGACCGATGATAACTTTGGTAAAACTATCGTTGCCAGTGCAACTTTGTGTCCATCCATATGTACGCATGCATGTATATGTGCTTATGTATATACTATATGCCTGACGTTGCCACATGTCATCTAATTAGTGTCGTGGCGTTTTTGAAAATTTGCTGACAAAGCGAACGCAGCAAAAGACACACACACGCGCAGAACATTTCATTTGTATTTGTGCCGTTTGCAGGCATATCAGTTTTCATGCACTTCCGGAACCGCGGGCAAACGACACATGTGCAAACTTATGTATGTATGTATGTACACATGTGTCATATACATACATATAATTTTGACCTCTTTTAGGTGCGTTTTTTTATATTAAAGGGACAACACTGACAACAGCAGAAAAACAATAACATAGCGCCACTCGATTTGCAACAGAGACAAATGCATTATATTGCTGTTGCTCCTTACTTTTGCCCGGTTCCAAAGGCTTGCCTGCTTGCGCACAGTCAGCAAATGGAATGCGAATAAAGAAGGAATAGGCATGAATAATAACTCTTGACGCTTGTGGAGAAAATGACTTTGAATAAAATGGTGCCAGAGTGTCTGAAATTAAGCGACAGCGAACGAGCGAAAGAATGAAAACAAACAAACGATGCGCTGGCCATGCTTGCGTGTGTGTTTGTGTGTGTGTGTGCGTAATGCCAACCGACAAAAACTTACAAAATCGATATCGATAATGGGAACGAATTAAAGCTTAAAAACCTAACACATTAGCGAAGACTCAAGACGATAGTGAAAGCGAAACAGGTTTCTATTCAAATGTTAAAGACGGCTGTTTAACTATATATGCACGTTTGTTATGTATTTAAAAATGTTTGTAAGCACATATGTGGGCGAACTTGAACTCGGTTTTCTTGTCGGGTGTGCGCCAAATGTTGCTGCTGCTGTTGTTGTTGTTGTTGTTGTTATGCTGCGTCAGTTTCTCGTGTTAAAAGCAGAAAACAGGCGAAACAAAAAAAAAAATTCAACT